TCCGACTCTCTCCTCTCGTCTTACCCAGTCAGTAATGTGATGCCGCTATCAGCCTCCTTGGGGCCTAAATAGACCTCAGTGAGAATTTAATAGTGTGACCATGATACATAACAAGTGTCTGTCCAGCAGGGTGACATCAGCAGCGGGGAATCTGCTGGTATCCCTGCCCAGCTCCTGCTGGCATCAGGAGCAAGTGGAGGGAGCCAGAACTGAGCTGAGCTGAGCTTTTTAAACACTGCTAACATAGAAAGCAGCAGACTGAGCGCAGGCCAGCTTGGTGATCCTAAGCAACATATGAGCTTTTTTTCTATTTATTGCACCTTTAAGAATTGCTAATGTGCAAATTATATGAAATAGAATTTGTGACATGACAGTCGTTTGGGGTATTTGCATTTTGTCATGCAAATACACAACAGTTGTTTTGTGGCTGTGGAGTTGGTCTTTGTCAGATTACAACTGCAAACGCATGCAAATTACAGCGAACAACACATGCACATGCAAGAGCATGTTCAAGTAAAGCCTGACTGTCTCTCCAGAGTGACATTGAAAGAGAACTGAATTATTAAGTATAAATACAAAAGTATGCATAGAGTGCAGATTAAAATTTGATGGGACCTTATTCATTATTCCATTCCATGTAAATGAATCCCTGCAGACTCATCCACATATGGTTCCTGCAAGAGTTTAGAGATGCAGTTTGGTCTTCTGGGTTTTTAAACATTCGCTTTATACTAATGTGTCCATTTAATGTAAAAAATAAAATAAAATGTAGCACAGTTGTGAATGTGACTACACAGAGTGTCTTACTCTTCTTAGCTTCCATATTTTATACTTAACTGTCATTCAGAGGATTCATGTTTTGGAATTCATGCCTTCTTGTAGTATAGTAGTTGCAGACTTAATGTACAGCCATTCCCTATTTAAGATGATTTTTTTTTTTTTTTGCAACAAACCATTTGCCTGGTGAGGGTTTAGTACAGAAACATTGCAAATCAATGTACACTATTGGCCATGAAGTTGCAATAAAAAAATGTTTTTACCTCTTCTTATGAAATAATTGTGATAATGTGGTTTATTCTTGATAGATGAAGTGTTTATTTTCTACAATACATATCACAATAAAAATTAAACCACTATTAACTTTTGCAAACTGTGTGTTCAAGCTGAAACAAAATTGGAAGTACTGAACAATAGGATTACGTTTTTTTTTTTTTTTTAATTTAACAGAAAACACATATTCAAGGTGATTCCGTGCGTAAGAATGTCCAATATTACTCTTTCAAATGTCACTCACTCACTAACATTGAGTCTGGCCACCCCTGACACGGATCATTAAGACGTTGTGGCATACTGTCCACAAGCTTGTAGATGCTGTCAATGGGCAGGACGTCCCACTATTCGGTCAGATCCCAAAATCAGAACTGGGCCTCAGTATGTAATCATTGCACCTGGTCAAAAGTGATTACTGATGTGTAGAAATAGAAATTAAAAAAAAAAAAAAAAAGAAAGAAAGAAATCTGTCTGAAAACAAAATCATCCCAACTTTATGAGCAACAGTGTATAACAGTTTGTTTGAAAAATACCCAATTAGCACCTATAAGGACTAGTATTGTAACTTTAAAAGAACTGTTTAATTTTGAGGAAATTATTTAGTTTCTTCTTATGTTGACGAGGAGATTAGTAAAACTCTCATCTTTTTACTCCACTATGGAGCGAGAGCTGGTAGTTGATTAGCTTAGAGACATAACAGTTTGGTCTTACTGGTATTGCTGACATTGTGGCAGTTTTGTTAGAACCAACACTTTTTTTCATTCACAGCTTTTCATGCAGGCTAAGAAAAATCTGTTTGAGGTTAAAAGAGGTTGCCGAGCCTGATGAAGTAGTGGAGGGAGAAGGCATGAGTCAAGAATGACTAGGTCTTCATCAAACAAACGAAGGGTGTTGGTCAGTGAATAAATATCTTCTAAATTAATGAAAAATGAGCTTTCATTACTTAATATTTCTGGATTTTGTGGGCCGCCGTGATCGCACTCACAGTTGTGAGCCTTTGGTCGAGACCGGCTCTGGGCACATGTGTCAGAGGTAAAAGGAGGAGAAGAAGGAGGAGACAGGAAACGGATGAGGAAATGAAAGAGAGGATAGGGATGCAGGAAGAATAAGGAGGCCGGTTTACAGGAACTGAGGGGAGAATAAAAGCTAAAGGCCAGAGAAGAAAGAGCACGCGCTATGATAGGCAGTGACAGACTGGCTCTGACACCCTAATCTTTTTTATCCACATGCAGGCGAAGACAAGTCAGCACCCTCCAAAGTACAAGTTCTCACCTTGACCCATTATCCATCGCTCTCGTTTGGTCTCTCCTCCTCTCATGTTACCCTTTTGACCTTATCTCTCACTCCTTCCCTTCATTCCTGTCATCCCCCCTCCACCCCTGCACTGTGTAAATGGGGCGACTCTGCGCAACACACCGATCCAGCTCGGCTTCGTCTTGTCATGCGACAATGACCGTGTCCCTGTCAGCACTTCATCAATCAGCTCTGAGTGGCACACCGATGCTGGACCGGTGCTTGGTTTTGACTTTACAGCAGTCTGCGGTGGCTCCATGCAAACACGCGCACACATGCAGACCCGTTTCATTTTTCTACTAGTTGTATATATAACACGTGAAGCAGACTTTGGCGCGCAAAGGCTCATTAATTTGAGGTAATGAGGCGTTCCGGTTGATGATATCCGGTAAGGGAATGATTATATTTCCAACTGTTGGCGTGCGCACTTCCATATGAGTGTGGAAACTACCCATTGTTGCCTCTCAGCGGGGCAGGAAGCACCTTCGACAACAAACTCAACCTCTTTACGCTGATTCAATCCAATGCAGCTGCTTTAGCATCTGATTACTACAGTCTATTTGGCAAGGTATCAAGACTACCAACTTTATGAATGGATTCAGAAGCTTTCATAACAAGAGAGAAAATAAATCACACTCATAAATGAGCTGATTCAATGTCTGTCTGTTCATTTTTTATAATCCTGTGGCGTTCGCATTAATTTGGCAACGACAACAATATGAAAGCAAAACTTCATTTGAGTGTGTGAACCAATATCAAAGCGACCACAACTTCAAGAAAAACAACCAAAAAAAAGGTTTCAAAAACAATAGCGATGCTGTTATTTCCCACCAGCGTCTGGCACACAATGAATTTTCATACTTCCAGTGAATTTTGGCCAACCTGTGAGGAAATGCCTATTGAGCTGTGGAAATAGCTCTCTAGGAACCCTGGAAAACACAAGGAAAGGCTACTTATTCTGCCGAGCCACTACCCTGGCCCTACAAGGAAAATTCAGAAGCGGTGCAGCGCGTTGATGCCTGATGATGGGTCTCCATACTGGACATTATTTCCTGGCTACGGTCCACAAGAACGCAACGAACTCTCTCAGCATTCTGGCTCTTTGGTGGCCATCAGCCCCGGGAATAGCAGCTATGTGAGCATGACTGCACGGCACTATTTCTGTGTGCTCTGCTACTTGACATTGAGAGGCCGGGATTAGGTGGCTCCACTACTGTAAATGACTAGCTCCTGTCACACATGCAAAACACACGTACACATGCTTTACACTAAGATGAGATGTAAAGCGGAAAATCACTTGCATTTTTTCTTTCTTTCTTTTGGCCGTTGAGAAAAAACCGTTGTCATCATATTGCAACTTTCCCCTAAAAACCACATGCGAAAAGCTGTTTTTCAGTTTCTCAACAAACGCTGTGAGGAAAGTTGCGTCCTGAATCAGGTACCACACCCTCGAACATCTGTCTTCAACTACCATCCCCCCAGTGTGAACACGGAGCCCAACGGCATCTTGTTTGTTCAGTATATATAGAGAGTATGGGAATCGAACCCACAAACAGTGCTGAAAAGCGATCCACATAGCAAACATGCATGTTTTTGCTTGTAATGGTTCGGTTAACCCCTGTTACCCACGCAGAGTCAGCGCTGAGGCATTACTCTACCACATTCCCACTCACACACACACACTCACACACTCACACACAGTGCCGGTGTAACAACATCCGTGTAGGAGGTGACTTCAAGGGGGTGACTAACGTTTGGCTGGGTCTCAACCTGCCTTTGAGTCCAGCTGGGCCTTTTGACCGTCCCTACTTCCATTAAAAACCTGCATCCATGACTGCATTGTTGCGTCCCAGTGTTTGCCGTATGTGGTCTCTCTGAAGCCCGTGGCATTCGGGGCTGGTTGAGGTCTCAGATGTTAGTGGTTGTGTCTTTGAACGTGACATCTGTTGGCTGTGTGAGTAATGGTGTGCGGTGCTGTGGCGTGTTGTGTTGCGGCTGAACATCAGGTGTTCCCTGGCTCATACGCCACACATCTGTTCCCCCTGGTTCAACACACACACACACACACACACACACACACATGCAGCTGTAAGTGAGTGTGATTGATCTGTCAGCGAGACTAATAATTCTGTTGTCAACACATGCTACGAATAATGTCTTCATTTTCCATGCGGTCCAGTGAGTAAGACCACTGAGAAACACTGATTTAGCAACAATCATTTGTTAAACTGTTAGAAAAACACTGGTCGCCATGTATAGATAACCATAATTAAACATAATAAGCTGGCTTAGGGTTTCTGATTCTATATCTACACATCACTGACTAAAAATATTTGCCTTTTGAGCGTGGAACATAATAGCGCTAATGGCCAGGATACAGGTGCGTTGGTCAAAAGCGGTCGCTCACACGTCACAGACAGAGGAAATAAAAATATTATGTTTACTATAATTACAAGCCTGAATGGGCCAAAAGAACATAGCGCTGTTATCATTATCCAGACAGGCACTAATGTGTGGTCCAGCTCAGGAAGCGACTCAAGGGGCGAAAATAAACTTGACCTTACTTAACTGATCTCTTGGTGCAACATTCGAGACTCCCCTTGATGTTAAGAACACATTTATATATATGCAGTGAGAAAACTACAAGAGTCAGAACATTCAGATAATCTTGTTTTATTTTTGCTCTGAAAAAAAAAAAAATCACAAATAAAAATCACTTCAAAACTGCAGGACAGGGTTTGAAAGGGTAGAACACTTGAATTCACATTTTTTTTCTCTTTTCCTTGACAGCTTAACAGTTTGTAATGATGGTAAGACATGACAACATCTTTATACCCAATTATTGCTACAGTGCATTTAATATTTGACTCCCTTTTTTAAAAAAAAAAAAAGTTTCTTAGCAATATAGATGCTGAGAGCGCAGTTTTTTTTTTTTTTTACTTTTTGTTTTGTTTTTTTTTGCATATAATCAATACACAACCAGTGCACCATAATAATCTAGTGACCTATGCTGGTCTGTCATTGTAAAACTAAGGCAGAACACAAAGCCTAATGTGGCCTGAAGATCCCCGAACCTGCAGGATAGAGTTGGGGTGGAGTGAAAGAGCAGGGCTCCCTTATTACCAATACTGATGTGCCTTTGAGCAAGGCACTGAACCCTCAACTGCCAAAGTGAAGCCACTTAATGGGAAGGCATGAATGTGTGTGAGTGGAAACAGGGCGTTGCTCTCATTTAAACTACCCTGAACATTTAACATAATAATAATAATAATAATAATCTGATCTATTCAATGATCAATGTATTAATCACAGTGCTATTGATCATCTACCGAGTGCGAAAATTAAAATTTAAGCATTACAGCTCCTTAGATGAAAGACTTAATAACTCAAGATGCTTCCGCATTGTTTGCTTTTTCGTTTCATAAATAAATATCGTTCCAATAAGAAATATAAAAACAACTGTAACATTATTATTTTTTAAAAACTGCCGGAAGGATGGTTAAAAATCTCCATAAATACAGTTAGCTTAAATAAATAAATTAAAATTATAAATATACTGTACACACAAAGAAAAAAAAAAAGAAAAAAAGAAGAGAACAAAAAACAAACAAATGATGGCCTTGTGCAGGAAAAAATACAAAATGCTGTCCAGATTGAGCTCTCGTTGTTGTTCATAACATCAGTTCCACTTGAAACTTTTCTTTTTTTTTTCACACAGTCAAGAAGCAGCACAGAGTTTGTTCCTCATCCTCATCCTCCTCCTCCTCGTTCCATCGCGATCATCGCCCAACTCTCGACACATCTCCAGTCCATCCCCTCTGAGCCATTTAGTATTCCAGTTCCAGACGGGCCGCCTTCTTCTGAGGCCATCGGGAATACGTTCAGCTGCCCGCTCTGTCTCTGAACGTCTGGCAGAACGTCGGGCGGTCGCCCTCCGTTCCCTTCTTCACGTACGTTCATTTTTTCTTCCTCTGGGACCTCCTGCTGCGGTTCACTTCTCTTTTATTCATTTTGAGGTAGAATTTCTGCATCTTTGCCTAACGTGAGAGAAAGAAAGCGAGGTGAGCGTTTCATTTCACTCAGGCAACAGAGAGGGCAGATGTTGGCCGGTGCATGTGCCTGTAGCCCTGCTCCTATCTTACTCACCTCTCTTTGTCTCTTCAGTGGTTGGACGCTAACCCTAGTTTGACCTTCTCCTCATTCTCTACATCATACGCTCCGCGTTTGTGAAACCTGCAATAAACAAGAGAGAAGGAGCTCGTTTTAGGCTATTTTCTGTCTGTCTCGGCAGCTATGCTCTCAATCTGCGAGTGTGTATGGCTGTGAGTGGGTGAGTTTATGTGTTTATCACTCACCTGAGCATTAATAAAAGGCCTATGATGGTGAGGCACACGGACGACAGCACCACTGCCACCACCGCCAGGGCCGTGGTCCGGCTGTAGCCCTCAGGAGACTGCACGGGCAGCGTGATGAACTGACACCTATCACCGGAGTAATTCGGGTGGCACCTGTAAAATAGGACGGAGAGGAGGGTTACTAATCAATCAAAGTGCGATGTGGATGTTGTGCGGGTAGATACGGGGCTGATACTTACACACAAGACGGGGTGCGGATGTCCCTCAGGTACTGACATGTGCCGTGAATGCAGAAATCCTTATACTTCTTCAGGCAGGGATTCCTCTTCTTCCCCTTGCCCTTCTTCCTTCCCTTTCCTCTCCTTCTCTTTCCCTCAGTGCCGTCGGCGTCCAGGATGGCAGACGGGTCTTTGGGTTTGCTTGACATGGCGACTAAAGGAACAGAGAAATCCATTATCACACCTTGTCGTCTTCATTCAGGAATGTGAAGAAACAGGAAAGGGAGACATTTGAGAGATTCTTACCTCGTGGCAGCTCCAAGTCATAGTCTCCGGACATGCCATCCTCGTATTCATCTTCATAGTAATATTCATCGTCGTACTCCTCATCCTCCTCGCTGTGCTGCACCGTGGTCGCACTCCTGCTCGCATCCTCCTCCTCCGCCCTCCTGTCTTTGGTTGTGTCCAAGAGGTTGATAACAGACGTGTGCCGCTGCCTGTCGCTCTCATACCGGTCAACTGCAGCACCGCTGGCCAGTCTGGACACCACTGGAGGAGAGAAAAAGAGTTTCAAAAAGTTAACATTTGGGTTTGATTTGATGCATGAAAAACCCAACTCTAAAACACAGGCTGAAACTCTTCCTGTAGGGGGACAGGTTAGTGTGCCAAGGTGGGCGGACCTCTATGGGCAAGTTGAAACATGTTGAGCACAAAGACGCTGCAGGCTGGATTTTTGGTTTTGAGGGATTTCCTAACAGATGCCTTGTTGGGAAGTTGCACAAGCTCACACAGAGAGCAGGCTCTTCAGGAGGGGTGTATGGATATCGGATGCCTTGCTCATGAGCACTTCAGCACAGTGGAAACTGGCCAAAGGTGATAAATGTCTCTCAGAGGGACAGTTTTGTGGAGGAAAAAATATAGCAGAGGGGAGGCAAATAGGAGTTGGCATATACCCCCTCTGTGTCATACACACGCACAAAATGCATGGACAGACAGTTAGCTAATGTCAGGCAAGAATATGAGTTAAAAATAAATGTATCCAGTTACATAAAGCATGCTCTAAAATAGAGAGATGACCCCGTTAGCTCCCGAATAGCCTGGCATCATGAAAAAGCGTCGCCTTAAAGATGAAAAGTTTACAGGACATATAATAGCTCGGTCATGCTGGAGAGGTTTACACCAACAGCCGAGGAGAGGCAGAGTCACGCAGACACACACACAGACACACAGACAGAGCAACGCAACTGGAAAGAACACAACTCAACAGGGAAGGAAACACAGCCAAGACGCGCACAAGGAGCGCACATGAAACGTACCCAAGGCGTGAACCAGCAGGAGCGCAACAAGGAAAGTCCTCATGATGTCAAAACTTCCAATGACTTTCAGGAAAAAAAAGGAGAGAAAAAACAAAAGATCTACAAGTTGTATTCCGTCCACTTGTTCCTGTTCTAAGTAGTCCTTCTTTTCGCTTTTTTTTTTTTTATGTTTTTGTGTTTTAATTCCGACCTCTTGGTGACGGCTGGTGCGTCTCTGCTGAGCGGAGCGAATGCGCGTCTGGACAGAGGCTCGGTCGTATTTATTCCTGCCCTGCTCGCCCCGCCTACATGGAGGATGGCAGGACACTGCTGCTGTAATAAGTACACTACAACAATTAATTTGGTAATTAATTGTGTGAGTAGTGTGTGAGTTTAAAAGCAGTGCACAGGGCCAGTTTAAATCCAAATAAAGGTCACAATGGTACACTGTAAAACATCATAAAGGAGTTTAGTCAAATCAGCTCATCATTTTTTTAGTTTACTGGATGTAATATAAGAGTTTTATTCAATTATAGGTACATTAAAATGTCAGAATTTCAGTTTAAAGCCACTTTAGAACTTTAAAACAAGTGTTTCTATAATGCTGGGCATTTAGATTTGGAATGAATTGAATGAATGAAGAGCTGAGAGTTCACTCAACTCATTAATTTAAGTTTATAAGAATTAAAACTAGCGTTAAAGCAGATTTCTCAGGATGCATCGTTAGAGAACTAAAACTCCACAGATTTATTTGTTGTAGTTTGAGAAGACAGACATGGTGGACACTAGTTCATCCCATGACAAGAGTTAGCACTGAATTGACCCACAGACTTATAGTTTATTTCAGTGTGATGAGGAGCAGACTTACAGATTGTCTTTGTACTGATTCTAGTAAAACAAAAAAGAAAGACAAAAGGCTTCAACAGCTGAAACTGTAAGTTCTTGATGTTAAATAAAGAAGAAACTCTTTCAACTTGGAAAATGTAAAAAGAAAGCAAATGTATCTGTAACACATTTCTATGCGACTAGTTGATTCAACTTTATATCTTGAGTTAATTGAATTTGTTTTCTCAAGTTCAGTTAATTTAACTCAGCTAGCTTTACATTTTCACAGCTCATAAATGGCTTAATGATGTAATTAATCAACCAAATTGCAGTTAACTCACATTTTTAAGGCAGCAGGAGAAGTTTCAAAGCTGAATGAACTTCAAATCATTTACAGTGTAAGCATTACTGAGATACTAGATGTGAGACTCCTGGTATTAAATATACTTAATACAGTTTCCACAGAAGTTGAGTCAGTGATACATTCCTAATATTAGTGATGAATCTGTTGGTGTTGTCTTCTTCTTAAACCTTTGACCTGTCCGCCCTGTTTTGTAAAACAAAATCTCTTATTCTGGGCCAGAGTGAATGCTGCCTCTTTGTCCATCAGATCAAATCACTTAACTCTAGTCTATTTCTAAGAATTTCAGACCAATAAATCCAGAAAACCATAGTGTAATAGCTGCCAAGTCACATAAAACACATAAACAAATAGGTCAGTAAACACAGGCAATTCTTTTTGTTGTATTTACTCATGCCTGCCGCCTATACAAGGCTCTAGGGATTCAGTTTTGTTTGATCCACACTATGGTGTAAGCACACACACACATTTATAGCATAAGATTACAGTGGCTCTGTAGAGTATGGTAAGCAAAATAACGATAGTGTTATTAGACATGCTAAGCCAAGACAGCTAATGATACAGAAAACATATAACTTTTTAAACTAAATTGTAAAAATGAGTGTATCTCAGCCTATATATAATAAACAGCATCTTGTAAAAGGGTTCACATGAATATAATACACAGACTGCCTGCGCTACCATGTGGTTAAACCAGGAACTACACTCATACCAGCTCTACAGGGGCTGCTGGTGGTCTCCTGACACTAATTTCTCATGGTAGAATACAACGATTACATGAAATCTCACAGAGCTCTCTGGTATTGATATTTTATTAGCTAGTTGGGTATCTCAGTGACATCCTCAGAGCACACTGATCAATGGACCAACAGTAGGAGCTAAAAGTAAGGACCAAAAATCACTGGTCAGTCGGTTATACATCCTTTATTAAAGGTTCTGTATTAAAATGTTTAAAACAAAAAAGTGTGAGTATTGTTTAAAAAGTGTATTTAAAGTAACAACAGTACAAAATTAAATTAAAAATTAAATTAAATTAAAATGTTAAGATGGCGATCATACAATATAGCTATTATGCCCATTTACCTGACTAATATTCATGTTAAAGTTAAGACCCTTCAATATTTAATAATATATGCTTAACTAATGCCATTATAAAGGTTAAGGTCTTACAATACTATATACTATATAGCACAAATTAGCCTGGCTAAAATAAATATAAAGGTCAAGACCCTACAACATGATTGATTTTATATATTTACTTAACTCATTTAAATATTGAAACTGTACAATATACATAAATTCCATATAAATTACAAACATTTATATAACTGCTTTAAATATTAACGTGATGACTATACAATTATTTTTCATTATTTATTTACCTGACTAGTTAGAATAATTAGATAGAGACCCTAAAATGTTATATACTTTAGAAATACACAAGACTAATTTAAATATAAAGGTCAGGAACCTACAATATTGTGGACTGTAGAGTACACATTAACCTGATTAATTTAAATGTTAAGGTTGAGACCTTAGAATATTTACTATAACAAAACCTAAATATTAACATTACTATGACTATATACTATAGTAAATTACCAGACTATTGCTTAAAGTGTGTTTATTTATTTATTTAGTTGTTGTTGTTGTTGTCTGGGCTCTATTGAAAACATTTTATGAGTTTTTATTTAACTGTGGCTCCACTGATGTGATCCGGTAGGTGACGGTGACGTACTTCCGGCCGGTTCTCAAACCTTTAAACGTTTCAACGAAGAAGAATAAAGTTCTCACAGAGCGCGTGATTGCTCTGAGCAGGTCACGTGAGGGGGGCACAAACATGGCCGACGAGGCAGGGGAAGTAAACACAGCTGTCGAGGGTCTCGAAGAAAAACAGCAGCAAGATGAGCCCGAAGTTTTGGGACCCGCCACTGACGGAGAGCCCGAAGGCAGCGACAGACAGGACTCGACGGAGACGGAGGCTCCGGCGGCGGCGGCGGCAGCAGAGAGCAGCTGGTCGGCTCCCATCCTGTCTCTGGCTCGGAAGGCCACGGAGACGATTAGCAGCGGGATGAGCTACGCTGCTGCCCCCAGAAAGACCTCCACTGCGAGTACCCCGACCGAAAAGGAGCCCGAAAATGATCTCAACAGTACTTCAAAGAAGCTTCCAGGTGGGCTGTGATTATTATTAAACTCTGACACTCTAATTAGTTTGCACACTTACTTCCTCTAATACTGAGTTTAGCTCCATGTCAGCTGTCAGAACACATGACTCCTGGAACAAAACTTGATGTCATGCACAAACTGGCCTTGTAGTTCTCTCTGTTTTCTTTTCCTTCATATGTACTGTTTAGTTACACTTCATGGAGTTCTTCACTACACTTGCATCTGTGTGACTGATGTAATTTCACTACTTTATGTGCAGTTCTGCCTCCCAAAGACCCCATGGCAATAGAGAGATCCAACCTCCTGAGCATGATGAAGCTGAGCATCAAAGTACTGATCCAGTCCTCCTTGAGTCTGGGCAGGACCATGGATTCTGAGTACCCCCCTCTGCAGCAATTTTTTGTTGTCCTGGAGCAATGCCTCAAACATGGGCTTAAAGGTGAGACTCTTCTACCCCCCTCCATACCTCAGTTTGCCAAATCGAGGAACCATGTTTGCTCATTCAGAACAATAGAAGAGACAGGTTACGTTTGGCATTATTATACTTCCCCTTTAAGAGACGAGGACTGAAACTCAAAAGGTTTCCATGCTATTAGTGGGTGGCGCAGTCACACATCATAATGTATTCTAATTACACCTACTCTTGGCAACACATTCATGTACTCTGCAAATGTTAAAATAGAAACTTAAGAAACAAGCATCTAATGACCGTGTATTGAACACATTAACCTGTGGTGCAATGCTCAAGATTAAATCAGAGAGAAAGCCTCCATGTTCCATTTTAGTCCAATTTGGGGAAATGACTGTTTTAAACTAGGAAACGTGAACAAAGGCTTCCATCTTTGGGCCACCACTGGTCTAGCTAGAACAGGAAGTATGTTTATGCCAACTTTATGATCTCTTAAATAGCCATTAAAAAAACAAAAAAGGTAAGGAGCTTCATCACTGCTTCATGCAACCAGTTACTAACTCCTCCATGTCTTTTTGAAATGAATCGACTAATCTCTGAGAAGTGGTACATTAAAGAGTGTGTTTCAGCTGTGCATGACATGTCATACACCACAAGTTCTTAACTCGTCTGAATCCTATACTGACTTATACTTCCTATGCTACTGGAAGGAAGGCATCCATCCATCCATCCACTATCTATACACCGCTTAATCCTCACTAGGGTCGCGGGGGGGGCTGGAGCCTATGCCAGCTGACTTAGGGCGAAGGCAGGGGACACCCTGGAGAAGGAAGGCATACAGAATGATATTTCCCTGAATAACTATGGTTAACAACAGTGTTCCAGATAGTTGAATTAACTGCAAGCAGCCTAAAGACACAGTTTGTCGTTGTATGTGGGACTGTAAAGAGAGTGCAAATCTTTGATGCATGATCTTACAAATTATATTAGGGATGCACCATTTATTTATTTGTTTATTTTTACTCCTGATAGCCATTTTGACACCAGGACTTTGCGTACTGGCAGATGTCTAGTACTGACTGTATACCTGTGGAAGAACCGAGAATCATTCTTTCAGTTTGGCTGTGTTCTATTTTGCAGCCACCGCTCCAGATACTAGCTTTGCAGATATTGCAAGCAGCCGTACAACATGTTAGTGCAGCAAGTGTAAGATACTTCCAAACTGCTGACACTTTATTATTAGCTCCCTCCATGCTATGCTAGCTCCTATTATAGCAAAATGTTTAGGTCTGTGGGTACATTGCTGGTGCGTGATGTACTATATAAAGGTTGACATACAGAGCATTCATCTGAATAGATCAGCTCCATAGATCAGTCGATTTGTCACAGTTACGCAATGCAGCTATTTAAGTCAGCATCGGACCGAAATCCAATACCAATATCCAATCAGTATATCCCTAAATAACATAAAATATTAGATGCAAAATTATTATTTTCCAGTTACATTCTGTCACCCTAGTCTTACCAAAAAAAAACAACTATGTTCTAAGGATATGGTGCCCTAACATGGAATAACATTCAGATAGTTAGGGAAATTGCTGTGCTATGGGCAAGATAACTTGTATTCTAATAGGAAAAAGTGACACCTTTTGATAGAATTTGGGGCCACTTTACCAACTATTCAAGAATGGTAATTTTTCAGATATGTTACAAACTGATAGAAATGGGAAGCAATGAGAGATTCAACTACTGCCGATGTTTATTGACTTACATTTTATGGGAGGATGGTCAAAACAAACATAAACTGATGTCATCATGTACAGTTTGTAGGATAATGTTGCTCCTGCCCAGTTTCTTCTCACTGCCCTTTATTATCTTTTGTTGTACGTTTGTGTATGGTGTGTCTTATGTGACAGGTATGTTGTTTAAAAAAGATAAAATAGAATAGAATAGAACTTTATTGATCCCTTTGGTGGAAACCTCAGGGAAATTGCTGAACATAAACATAAGCATCAAGCTAAAAACAGGGGGAGGCAGCATATGGCGCTGACCTTTGAAATGAAATATTTTGTATCTAAAGCGAAGTCTGAGTCAGAGCAAGCAGAAGTTATTTTTTACATTTTGTTTTTTCAGCCAAGAAATCCTTCATTGGTCAGAACAAGTCCATATGGGGACCTCTGGAGCTGGTTGAGAAGTTGTGTCCAGAGTCTGTCAACATTGCCACAAGTGCCAGAGACCTGCCCGGCATTAAGTATGCTATTGCAAATGATTTTACGCTACAACTACAAAGTAAGGCACACTTGACACAGTATAATTATTCTGTAATTCTTTTCCAGGACCGGTTTGGGGAGAGCAAGGGCTTGGCTGCATTTGGCGCTTATGCAGAAAAAAGTAGCCGACTATCTGAAAACCCTGCTGGACCAGAAGGATCTCCTGAGGTTTGTGAAATTAATCGCTAATGTGGATTCAGTAGCAACAATCTACACCACAGTGTAAACATGTCGGATTAGTTTTCAAGCGTGCACATTGATCCCCTTTTCTCTTTCAATCTCTTAGTGAGTTTTATGACTCTGGAGCACTGATGATGGAGGAGGAGGGCGCGGTCATGGGGGGTCTGCTGGTGGGCCTCAATGTAATTGATGCTAACCTTTGCATTAAAGGGGAGGATCTTGATTCTCAGGTGAGTCCTAAACAATGTTTCTGGGTCTTTTTTTTTTCTTTTTTTTTAGAGAAACAAGTCGATCACAGTGATCTGTTTTTCATTTAGGTTGGAGTCATTGACTTCTCTCTGTACCTGAAGGATCCTGCCAACAGTGAGACTCAAAAAGAGTGAGTTCCTGCTTTCACATGGATTTAGCATCTCATCTAGATGGCTACTTATGATGTTTCGATCCCCTTTTTGTTGTTAATGTAGTTTTAACTGGATCCCCATGATCATAATTCAAATCCAAACAAGCCTTAATGCACACTTAACCCCTCACTTGTTGTATTTTTTCCTCCCTTAGTGATTCCAAGATGACAGCCATATTGGATCAGAAACACTACATCGAGGAGTTAAATCGTCACCTAAGCGGCACCGTCACTGACCTCCAGGCTAAGATGGACTCTCTAGAGAAGACCAACAGCAAACTCGTAGAGGAGGTCAGGCGCATTTTGTGTGAGCAGTTGTGTGATTGTGCTTGTGTTTAGGAGGTGTGATGACTTTTTAAATTTATCCAATTATATCTTTTTTTTTTTTTTTTTTTTAAAGAGAGAGAAAAAAGGACTGATTCCTCTCCAATGTCAGCTTAGCATGTGTGTGTTTTTCTTCTCCTCAGCTGACAGCTGCGACAGACAGAATCAACTCTCTGCGGGAAGAACAGGAACAGCTGAAAAATCAGAATGAGTCGATCTTGCAGTCCAGCCAGAAAAAAGAAGAGGTTTGAAACTTACTGCATCCAAACTACTCCTGATGTAAAACACACTCAAACTGTGTGATATATTTGTTTTTGTTTTTTTAGGCAGCCCTTCAGGACAGCCAAGTGGAGCTGGAGACGTACAAACAGACTCGACAAGGCCTGGATGAGATGTACAATGTGGTGTGGAAGCAGTACAAAGAGGAAAAGCGCATTCGCCAGGTCAGGTATCAACAGGCTGTAGATAACTAGACAGAAGCTACAAGTGTGAGTGTTGATCAGTGACTCAGTGTTTTCGAAGACATCTTGTCTGGTGCTTTTGTGTTATAAATAGACTCCAGAACTGGCGCTGACTGATGCCTTTTGCATATTTGGATGGTGTTAGGAGCTGGAGCGTGAGTTGGAGCTGCAGGTGGGGCTGAAGCAGGAGATGGAAGTTGCCATGAAGCTGCTGGAGAAGGACACGCATGAGAAACAGGACACGCTGGCGGCTCTACGGCTCCAGCTGGATCAGGTCAAGACTCTCAACCTGCAAATGTTCCACAAAGCTCAGGTAAACACAGACGAGTATGTTTTCTTATTCTCTTGCAAGCTCAGACAGAATGTACATTTATACAAATCGTGTGATTCTCAAGGACTCGCAACGACAAGCAGAGAAAAAACAGGAGGAGGCTGAGCAGCTGGAGCAGAGGATGAATGAAATGGAGAAAACCATGATAGAGCTAGAGCAGAGGTATGCACTTGTTCATGTGTGAGCTTTTGTATGTTAATATTACATTTCTTTAAATAAATGTCCTTTTGGTCTTTTGCGGGGTCACAGGCTGCAGAACTCGGAGCAGCAGCGGAAACAGAGTGACCAGTCAGACAAAGACATGAAGGTGGAGCTGGAAGGAAAAGTTGACGCTTTGCAGAAACAACTAACGGACCTCGATACACTAAGGTTAAGACACGCAGCTGGAAAAATAAGACCCACAACATTTGTATAGCACCTTCTGGAAACAGTGTATAAATTATGAAAGTGGCACTGTGCACAATGATATAACTCTAAAAAGGTGCATGAAAGGGCAACAGTTAAAAGGTTTGCCTAAAAGCTTATCAGTAGCATTGTAAAGAAATAGTTTATAATATGCAACTGATTTGGCTAACCTGAAGGGGTGTAGTTAGGCAGTTCTCCCATGAATCTCAGCTGATAATGCTAAGCATAAAAACAGCTTCATTCTGTACCATGTCAGCTGTAGCGAAGAGAGCTCTTGAGGGTTCCTGTTCACTGGTCTTGAACGGGAACAGTATGTACATACACTACTTTCACATTTAGAGTCCAAACAACAGGCACAACTTTAATGTACGAGGTGTGCCAGAAAAGTTTCAGGGCTGGTGTCACAAAAGATATATTTCAAACACAAACTACAAACTACGAGCTTCACTTTCAGATGATCAACCAGCATATCTACAAAGAGATCCTGCTGCGTTTGCTTTGTTCAGTGCGCGAGAAGAGGCGAGAGTTGTGGCAGGAGAAGTGGTGACTGCTTCACCATGACAACGAGCCTGCTCACAATGCCCTGAGCATCCCTGGCAAGGGGAACCCTGGCTGAGAAGAACATCACCATGCTGAAGCAACCTCCCTACCCACCCCACCTGGCTCTGTGCGATTTTTTTCCTCTGCCCCAAGCTCAAGGGGGTCATCAAGGGGACCCGTTTTGAAGACATGGACAACATCAAGATGGCTGTGATGACGGCGCTGAGGAGGATCCCGGAAGAATCCTTCCAGGAGTGCATGGCAGAGTGGCAGAGAAGGCTGGGAAAGCGTGTTAGACTCCAGGGGGATTACTTGGAAGGGGAAAACTTGTAGTTTGTAGTTTGGATTTAAAGTATATATTTTGTGACACTAGTCCTGGAACTTTTCTGACACACCTCGTATAACAAAACCGAAGCAATTACTTTATAACATGTTTGCTACATGCAACTGAGACACTATCAGTGGCTCAGCTGTGACTGGTCACGACTAGGCTGAACTGCAGGCAGTGTTTATGAAGAACAGATAGGAGACAAGTCTGAAAACACATTTAAAATGTAAGTAGTACAAGATCAAAAGTAGTTTTTTTTTGTTTGTTTTAATTCTACAATAGATAATCAAAGAAATACCACTTTTATTTTTTATTGTTTCATTATTTTTGGCATTATAACTGTGCCATACTGTACAAACAACATTTTTGAGTTCTCTGTACATGTAGCAATGGTTTTGCTGTTTCCATAGAGATCCAGAACTTTACATTTCAGTAAAAAAAAAAAAAAGCGAGTAAAATTGATTGGAGCAGAAAATGCGTACGGTTCAGAAGGTTAAGACAGATTCTGAGCTAGAGACTCCATATCAAGTTCTTTCAATTAATATTGTGTTATAAAAACTGAATGAGTGTAGAAACATGTGCTAAGTGTGAATAATATGGTGCAGTCTCATGTTGGTACATCAAGCAGAGCAAGTACAAGTGACTTAAGCCCACACAGCAGTTGTTAATTTTATCAAAGTTTTGAACATGCAGTCCTATTTTTGTCGGTGTGAAAAGAGAACCAAGTAGTCACAGTGTCGCCTCTCTGATCACAGGCTGGGTTTGGAGAACGAGCTGCGCACTGAGAGGGAACAGAGACAAAGCTTGCAAAAAGCCCTCCAGCGGGAGCAAGACAACAGCGTTGAACTTCGCACACAGCTGCAGCAGCTCCAGGGCCTGCACTCGGTCAGTGTTACACACACACCAGGGTTAGGGTCACTTACAAACAGTTGTGTGGAAAAATGTGTGCGGAATCCAAGAAGTAAACGTAACCCATGAAGACCAAACAGACTTTAAAAACTGGGTGCACCAGCTTTTGCAAAAAGCAGTCACTGCAGCAGGTAGAGGGTTAATATGTAGTTCCTGATTTCTCTACAGACATCATTATGTGTGATCTGATTAGCAGAAATGAATGGGGAACACATGTATAACTCCCAGAAACAAGCACAGAATACCACAATCTAATGCAGAAATATTAAAGGTATAGTTAAGATTTCAAGGCTTCAGAGGTTAGTAAAGTTTAGGAGTGTAGCTGAAGTGGCTTCAACCCAGCATTGGTTGCTCATTTGTACATTGCTGATCAATAGAAGTGCCTCTGAATGACAGAACTGTGCCATTGCATCGTGTGTAGGACCACCGACTCACTAGTCTTGGACTCAGTGAAGGTTTAAGTTCTAATTGGGTTCATTTTAATGTAGTTGGTGCAGTTAGACTGAAGAAATGGTTTCTGTTTATTTTACATAAATGACATTATGGAGATCAGTGTGACAGCTTTAGTCAAACAAAACGTTCATCCTATTTCAGCCTTCCACAAAACAGCGTAAGTGAATCCTACATAATCCTTCTTATAAAATGGGATGTTATGCTTCTTCCTTATGGACTGCTGGTGCAGGAGCTGCAGGATTTGAAGGAGGAGAAGCAGCAGCTGCAGCAGACGTGTGAGCAGCAGGAACAGGCTCTACAGGAGATGGGACTGCATCTTAGCCAGTCAGTACTTGTGATTGTGCCTCTTTTTTTCTTTTTTTAAATTCGCCAACAGCATTTCATATTGTGACATCTCATTATGTTGTTTTCATCTTTGCCGAAGGTCTAAGCTCAAGATGGAGGACTTCAAGGAGGTGAACAAGGCCCTGAAGGTAAAACGTGAAGGAGATTTTTTTTTAAAAACAGGGTGTGATTGTTCATGCTGTTAAAAAAATCATGAGAAGGCTAATTTTGTACGCCTGTTGCTCCTGTCAGGGCCACGCCTGGTTGAAAGATGACGAAGCCACCCAATGCAAGCAGTGCCAGAAGGAGTTTTCTATCTCGCGCAGGAAGGTAGGGGCTTCTTTTCCCCACTGCATTTCATTTAAACTTCTGGTAACATACATCGCCACAGATATGTCACTGAGCCACGCACGTTTGCTTTCGCAGCACCACTGCAGAAACTGCGGCGACATCTACTGCAACAGCTGCTCCAGCAACGAGCTGGCCTTGCCCTCCTATCCTCGGCCCGTTAGAGTGTGCGACATGTGCCACTCTCTCCTGCTGCAGAGAAGCTCGTCCACAGTTTCCTGACAAAACACCTGCAGGTGCTCCTACAGAAGCTTTCTAACACTGCACCTACTCATCCACTATGATTTTAAAGTACCTACATTGAAAGGAAGATGTCATCAAATCTTAAGGGAAAAGCGATTTGGTGTTCCATTGCTGCAGTTACCTGAAATTCAGGTACATTAGTTCATCTGTACTAAACAATGGCCACCTTTTTAACACTGATGGGACGAGCTAATATAGTTTGTGTATTCTAAGGAGACTTTGCTAAGAGACTGAAAAATATTTAATGTTTCCTTGGAATGAAATAACATCAATTCAACGATTTGGTAATCACTTGATAAACTGGTCTTTTTTTTTTTTTTTTTTAAAATGTGTAGTTTTTCTAATTTAAACTGTGGGTGTAGATTATGTAAAGGTCCCATCAAGGTTACTGTTGGTATTTCAGCTTTGTGTAGCTGGTTCATAGCAAACACATGAACACTTTAATATTCAAATTGTCATGCTTTTTTTTGTTTATGTTTAGTTTCTTAAACAGCTGACCCCCACTTGCTGGATACATGCAAAATTCTTGTAAATGACTGTAGAATGTTGACAGAAATCTCACTATTTTAGAATGTATTATATAACAGGGTTTTGTGAATCATGTCAACTGCTACAAAACCATTTTACTAATCTGGGAATGGTGACCAAAAGTGTTTTTTTATCTGGATATTTGATAAATTAATAAACGCCTACCGTTTTTGCAAATCTTGTTTCAATTGAATATTCCAGACTAGTTTATTCACTTTGTGCACAGGAAATACAAATAGCATTTGAAGCAGTAGAAACCTTCATGGTAGCAGATTTGAAATTCACTTGCCTTTTGATATAGCCCTCATTCAGAAAAACTACCCCTATCAACAGTCACACCTTAAGAAAACAAAACATGCGCTGACCATGTGAAGTCTCAAATTCAAATAAACATGAACTGGAAAGAAAGGAGGGAGGAAAAAAAAGAAAGGCTAAACACTATGTAGAAGATGAAATAAGGTCTAAACATCAGAAGATACCAGACATTTTCAGTTTTCTTGTTCATGCACTCAGACAGTGAAACATGTTAAATCCACCAGCACAGGATGAGCTAACCTTGAGAAACAGGCGAGTGTTTGGAGAACGGAAACACAAAACAGCACACTTCCAGGTAATGACAATGTAAAGCGTGGTTTCTGTAAGGAGGAATGGGGGAAGATGAACAGCACTTCTGACATATTTCGTGTGACAACAGATGATTTCGCTTCTCTCTGAAGATCATCCACTTAAAAAAAATACAAACCCTACCCCTCAGTATTTTCAAAACAACCTCACCTGACCCTATCCTATGTTTACGAGGTGAGACTTACAGTTCCAGTCCTTTCAGCAAAATGCTGCAATAAAAAACACATGAAATTAAAGGGGGGAGAAAAAAAAAAAATCTACATTCCCCATCCCCCTCCCAGTCCATTCATTGAGCCTCTGCTTCCTCCTCCTCCACCGCCGCCGTAGTAACTGCTGTTTATTCCGCCCTGGTTACCTAACAAGAGAAAGAGAATAAACACTATAGGACCGAGGAGTTCATCATAAAGTCATGCACAGCAAACCTGAACTCCCTCAAGGGAAAAGCTCGTCAAGTCTGAAGCGCTCAATATCAGAACAAAGCTGTATTGCGCATTATAGGATGGTTTATTTTTTTTAAATCAAATTGGACAATTGTGTGTTCACAAAATCTAATTTTCTTTTTGAACTACACTATAGTTTTTTGTTGCCGTTACGGGTGATTTGAGAAAACTTGCTTGTACTGAAACCTGTCTATTCATTTCTCTAAAAACCTATTCCATCAGGTGAAGTCATTTGGAGGAATTCAGGTGGTTCCTCAAACTACATCCTGTATTTCCACAGAAGTCAGGGTGAGGCCACTGTAACAGTAGCAGCCTGGGGGGCAGCATTAGAGGAAATGGATCACATAGCATCCACGCTGTAGATTTATTTTTCAAGTGATGGGCCCCAATGCAACTCTTTTTCTCTGGTCGTAGAAGAGCAATTTCACAAATATTTGCACCTTTCCACTACGCTAACTGCCTAGTTTTGGAAGTAACTCACTTTCCAGCTGTGAAATATTACTTCAGTCATTACACTAACAAGTGCAGTAAGGTACAGCGTGTCTTTCAGAGGTTTTCAGCCATGAAACTATTTTGCTAGTTCAGTACAAGCTGAATGAGTTTCTGAGTCTTAACATGTTTTGCTGCCAAAGGGGGAAAAATATAGTGTCTTCTTTAGTGCACAAGTAAACACTGAAATCTGTCAGACAGCCCAGAATTACACAGATGAGCTCAAAAAGTGTCTGACTATAAACGGTATTACTGCATTCCCTGTTTGACTTTTAGAAGAAAAAAGGTTTCAGTTGTAAGGACTCTCTTCAGTGGAGAGTGCAGTTTAAGGAGGATGCAGACGAAAACTATTGCAACAGAGCTGACACTCACTATAGTCACTGTAGCCACCCATATTTCCTTGGCTGCTGTATCCACTAGAGTACCCCGAGCTCAGCTGGCCACCGCTGTAGGATGATTGGTTACCTGTAGAAAGGACAGTCATTTTAGGGTCAAGAGGAAATTAAAGCAGCATAAAATATACTTAAAATGTTCTATTGTGGCTCTGTTGTGTTCTCTACTGTGTTCATTTTAGGGAAGCCCATGTCTGCTTGAGAAAATGACCAAGGATCAATACCTGCTTGTGTCGAAGCATTTCTAACCAAACAACAGAGGGCACAAGTCTCAACACCTCCATTACTAATACTCACCCATGCCACCCATCATCTGGCTGCCATAGGCTCCATTACTGCCACCTGCTGTTGAGTTCAAGAACAGCTCCACATAGCGGTGCTCTGAGGGGCAGAAAAATATGAGTGTGCAACTTAATATGTATGTTAAAAAAAAAAACAAACCCAAACAAAAACACGTCACTTATTTCGAAGTGTTTTAAACCAAGCAAACTCACGCATGTTCGCTTTGTCTTTGGACATGGCTGCCACGGCATCTTCGTGTGTCGCAAACTCTACATCTGCCTCCCCGGTTACTCTGCCATCTGGGCCGATCTCAATGTGGACTCGCACTGGATTCAACGGTGAGAAGAACTAAAAAATAAAAGCAATGGATGAATAATTCAGTGGTCCACTTGCTTAAACTGCATACACAATCAACACATCTGCAGGATGCACAGAAAACAATGGATGTCAGTGATGCCGCTTACATTGTAGATGTCTGTCTCTGTGGCTCTGTATGGCAGGCCTCTCATGTGGACACAGTGGCCTGTTGTACTCTGGAAGGAAGAGCCGCCGTCGCCGTACCGTCCGTCCGATACACCTGAATATACATAAATGGGATTAACAGAAGGTCTTGTGACGACTTCACATCCTAATCTCATTAATTCCATTGTGCAGTGTTAGCATGAAGGGACACAGGGCGAGTGATTATCTCAAACTGCGCAGGTTCAGAGCACAAAATCAGATTTCTAGCTGTTCCTTCAGTCCGTGTGCACCCACCTCCTCCGTAGCCCCCTCGACGCATTCGGTCATAGGATCCACCTCGGCCCATCATGTTGTAGCCGCGACCACCAGAGGGCCGGTCATAGGGGCCAGGTCTCTGCATGCCCATAGGCTTCCGTTGGGGTTCATAATGGGTCCGCACCTCAGCGCGGCTACTCTTGAAGATCTCAATGTACCTAAGAGCATAGAGATACCACAGTGAGGGCATGGGGAATGGATGACCACTGCATGTGCTCAATACTGGTGAAACTGGGCTATGCAGATGCTGTCATGGTGCAGTCCATAGGTAGTTTAATCTTTGAGTATTCAAAGCTAGATGTTAATAAAGTAGATTTTAAGATCTTATTTACTAAATTGGGAAAAAAAAAAGGAAGTTGTCCAAATTGATGTAGGCCTCAGTGACTTTTACACTTTTCTTATGGTTACCGGAAGTGATTCAGAGATCTAATTCAATATGGTGTAATAGGAATGTCCTGTGTCCTTGCCATGACAGCGATTGTCCTGGTTTTAGAGAGACAGAAAGAGCTCCAGCACCTCTGCAACCCACTCTAAGCATTACCTGTCATTGTGGGCTCCAGATCCTTGTGTACAGTGGCCCTCTGATTTTACCACCAGGGAGACTCCTTACCATTTATCAACCTGGACTCATGTTTAGTGCTGAGACACCATTTGTTCTCAAAATTAGCCATGTGCTCCAATTCTTTTTTTTTTTCCTGAATGGTGCCCAAGCACTAATCTTCCCACTGAGCATTGTGAATGTGTGGCAAAGTTGGGTGTACCATGGCAATTAGTGTATGTGTGTGGTAATTATTACAAGTATGCTCAAAAGTAGCCAAGATTAATGTGGTGTCAGTTTTGTATTGGATTCAGATGATGAAGGTGCACACCATAAGAAAAGCAACTTATCCAGCCAACCAACCAACCATCCCCACCTGTGCCCTATTCTTTCCTTGTGTTTCTTTAGAGCCTTTTCAGCTATATCCTGTGAAGCAAACTGCACGAAGGCCTCCCCCGTACTCCTCCCCTGGATGTCCACCGGCAATGTTATCCCATTTGGCACGATTTCCAACCCTTCAACCCAAGGACAGATAACCCCAGCAGGGGACATATTAAATCACATGCCCAATCACAGAGAGAACTTTCTCTAAAGAGAGAGATAGAAAACTTATGGAAAACTCTATACATCATCACACATACCAGTTCAGTTTTTAACCAGTGACTGGCCATTTACACGAGTTACTTTAACTGTATTCTTGGGATAAAATAGAAATGACAGGATAGAGGAAGAATATGGAAAAGGGCGCTGCGTGGGACATCAGGCTAGTATTGGTGTGTTGATGAAGAGAGAACAAGATCTTGGTGGGTGACATGAGTAAAATTACTGTTCGCAAATTAGGTACTAATCTAACATTTGGCATAAGCTGTTTATAAGAAGTGTATTTAAAAGACGAGGGTGTGAGGAAATGGAAAGAAACAATGATACTTGGGTAAGAGAGGGAAGCTACTGTATTATCAGTGATGAGTGGGATCCATTCCGTCATTAGTATATCACCACTAAGCACAGACAACTTCAAAATGTAGTATCAGACGTAGTTACAAAAAGTGATGAATGTGGGCTCAAGATGGATATGATGGTCAAAGATGGAAAAGGGTGCTTGCATAACAGATTCCTGCCTTTGTAAAAAAAAACAAAAACAAAAAAAACCATCACGTCTTCAAATGATTCCTCTATTTAAACGTCAATTGAGTTCCTTTTCCGGCGTCATTTCATTATTGTTTTACAAAACAATAGAACATTTTTCAGTGGCATATTGACTTCTTTGTAAATTGGATGCAACAAGTAGTCAGTGTTGGTAAGAAAAAGGAAACAAGAAAAGGAAGATGGTGGGGAAAAAAAGTTACAATTACCAATATTAAAAGGGATTTATAGTTAATCACTGGACAAGGCCTGTTCTTACCTGAGAAAAACTGGACGATTTCCTCCTTGCTGCAGCCAAAGGGAAGGCCTCGGAGCCGCACAAGCCCATCTCCTGCCGTCTCTGGACAGTTTGGGCCTGTGTGCTTCATGACCCAGTCCATCTCGACGTTGTTGGATTTAAAGACTATATCATAGGACACAAAAACAATTAGCCGGCACAGCTTAAAGCACAAACAATTAAAGCACTTCATCACAAAGTACTCATCATCTGCGTGCAGTTGTACACACCCTCGACGTATCTGTGACCCATAGTTTCTCTGTCCTTCTTCACGGCAATCTTCAGGTCTTCTTCTGTCTCCAATTCGACAAACGCCTCTCCGCTGGGACGTCCCTCTCTTGTGTAGGTGAAGTGGATGCCGCCTCCATTGTTGACGATTTTGCAGTCTGCATTGGAGATGTATCATTACCAACTCATTTCTAATTGTATAAATTGCTTAAGTATTTTTATTAAAGACAATAATGTATAAATACCTGAGAAAAACCTCTGTACTTCGTCCACTGAACAGGACCAAGGGAGACCCCTAATTCGCACTACATATCCTTCATCAGCCATGACTGGTCGCAATCCCTGAGGAAAAAGACAACACGATTAATCAGTAGGTTTTAGCATAAGAATTTCATTTTATTTGGATTATCTGATGACTTTACATATACAGTTTATTGACAAAATCATGGTGACTCAATATATCTTTTTAGAAACCTGGTGGGAACTTGGAAAGTTTTAGTTTCTCATTTTTAAACATAAGTTATTGCACAAATTATTACGACTTTTTTCATGTTGTTTAGATGGGGCTGTAATTATTTAACCACCATCATAAAATTCTAAAAAAAAACAGAGAATTAAAAGAGAAGATCAATCCTAAAGACCTATTGTAAAGCAAAATGTTTGTCAACGACTTTGATAAATATTTTTTTTAATTGAGATTTAGTTTCACATCACAGGAACTGTTCTCTTCCCCGTGAGCACAAAATCTGATATACAAGTACATTTAATCTCTGATCCATGTGCCAGCAACTCTAAAAGAACAATGTAATTTTCATCCCTAATGGAAAAACGTGAAATTTGGGGAAATTTCTAATTGACTTTAGCTCTCTCCTACATACGGTTGCACGTGTACCATTAAAACTGGCCGGTTAGAAATCGGTATGTAGTATGTATACAGATACAAAGCTTTCTTTCTGCACTTTAATTGCCATTCCCGTCGTTTTAATCGCCATCCACTTTCAGCTGAGTGAAATATTTTGTCGAAGGTTTGGATCGTGTATGAAATCAGTTACATGACCTGTAGCTAAATGTGAACTGGGGCTCGGTAGCAGCGCCATCTTGAGCTGGCTTTGTAGTACCAACCGGCGAAAACCAAATCAAAATTCTCATTGTTGTGGCTTTTCTCTGCTATAAAGGTAGATGTTGTACACACATGCGCTTCGCAAGCAATTGTCACAATGAACTTTTTTCCAGTTGTCCCAAACTAGTCATATAACTCCTCAGATCCACTTCATAAAAAGCGCGAACCTGGACACCGCTAGCGACATAAAATGTGTAGCTAGCTACTTTCATTCGACAAAATTTCGGGTGTTGCCGACTTTCGTTAAATAATTAGGAGTTCCCATGAGTCACGTTATGAATTAGTAGACAAAGACTGAATTTATTTCACAGAGGGCGCATGGCCTTCAACCCGCTCGCCACCGCACCCCGACACAAGAACAAAAGCGGCCCTCTCAGCCTGCGCCATGTTATTAACGTTAACCGTTAGCTCCCCAGCTAGCATCGTTAACTACCGCTGCGGTATCTTCGCACAATCTCATATACATACCGGTACAGATTTTTTTTCCTTTCACCGGAGCAGAGCAAGTTATTTTTCTGTGATATACTCACGTTAAACGACAGATGCACTCATCAATTTACCTGATAAAAGCGTAGATGCAACACGCCGGAGTATGTATGATCAGACCTGCGTGATGCAGCTCAAACCTCGCACTGGGTTGCCAGAACTCCAGAGCCATCCCCCTTTCAGGAACTACATAAAGACGCGCTTAAAAAACAGCCGCCGCGACGCAGCCACGTTAATGAACGTGGCCAATTTTAAAATAGCTTGTCGGTGATGTTAGTAATTCGACGTGATTTAAATTATGTTAAATCCAAAGAATCCAAACTTTACTAAATCTCCTGTAATGTCTTAAAATGACAGAAAATGTGGGTTTCTATACGCACCTGGCAATCCCGGCTGAATAACCAAGCGCCTTCTGGCCTGCGTCCACGCCCAAAACCGATGACGCTGCTGCCCGAGGCCCTGGCTGGCTGAATGGCCCGGTGGCTTCTCCTGGCCTGCAAATCCAAGTAGTAGCCCTAATTACAATGGTCAGCACTTTTCCCCATCTTTTTTTAAAAAAGGTAGATTAAATGTACTTTACAGGACATTTTTTATTTATTTATAACAAGTCCAAATCAGCTTAATCCTTTCAACTGAAAACATCACAATACAGCAAGACAAACCCCTATAGGCAACTTACTCAGCAGCAAACCAGAATAGGCATTTGAGGTTTTGTGAGGCTGATGTGTCAACAACCAAGTTAGCCTCGGTGCATTTCGGTACATTGTCTATTACAGGGTATACCACAAGCCTTATTTGCTGGTTTTGTTGACTACTGTGACCTAAATATCTTCAGTTTTAAATGTCAGTATGGAAAGTGAAGAAACAGCACTTGCATTCTTCACATTTTTAATCCAAGATGTTGGTGTAGCGGCAGCCTGCAGATATCAACTTTAGCAAGCCTGATATTGGCCACTTGTTGAAATCAGTGAATTCCTTGTAAAGATTGTAGGAGGAGACGTTTACCCCCACTTTAACAATTTCACACATGCCCTTAAGTACTTTACAGCATCCTGCTTAAATGAAGCCGTTCAGTAGCCAATGTGAGAACATTACAATAACAGCAATGGCCAGATCCAATAATAAATTTGTGCATCTCCAGAGGTAGAAAGAAACTAATTACCTAAACTAAGTAGGGTAATTAAATATTTTAGGTGATATATTTATTTCTATGTCACCAAACTTTCACATATTTGTTCTTATTTGTATTTTTACATTGCATTAATACAACTAACATACTCATTCAAGGTAATGTTGCTAAATTTTACTGCAAAAAAAAAGAGCTACCTCTTATGTGTTGTTATCTTGCATTTTAAGTCTCACAGAATTTAATTGCCAATACATTTTTAAAACGCATCGCCCCTCTCAGGGATGAGCTTGACACAAGTACAGTCAGATCTGACACAGCACAGTCACAACAGCATAACAAAAAAGTGTTTCATCAGTGAAATACGCCTATTTTTGCGCAGTCATTTGTTCCTTACTGGAGAAAAACACAAAAAGTATATCAATAAACAAACAGAATAGGCATTCTAAGATCTCCAGAAGGTTTTTCATGTGGACTGATGGGTGGTCTTGGTGGTGAGTGACCTGAAATCAGTGGCAATTCTGCAAAGCTCAAACCAAACATTCACAGGTCTCCAGGTAGTCCATTAAATTTAGTTTAAAATTATTTTTTGCGCCAGAATTGTTTCTGCATCTGCGAAGCCACTGTAGTGACATCCCCGTCTCATTTTGTGTTTTCTACCAAAGTCACCTGATCCTATGCAACAGATTACACTTTTAACATATTCATGGATTTTATGTTATTTTCTTATTTGAAGCAAAATATATGTATGCAGTTCATTTTAAAAAAGAGATCTATGATTATGATCCAGTGGTTATCATTTTTCTGTATGTATGCGCCTTTCTTTCATATAATTATCCCCAAAATGTCTTTTTTCTTTTGTCTGATTCAATTCTTATTTGCACTTGCTAACACGTTAAAGCAGTAATTAAGACATGTCACTTGTGAGGTTCACTGAGCTCCTGATACCTGTTATGTCATGTAAAAATCCTACTATATAAGTGAACAACATGCACAAGACATACCAAAATACTCTCAAAGTAACCCTCGTATGCATTTTATTTCCCTATATGAGTTTACATGAACTAGTAAAACTAGCAACCAGTTAAGTTGGCCTACCATGTCATGTCTTGACGTTCGTTCTACAGCCTCGTGATATTGGTAAACCTAACATGACGTTGCGGTCTCATGTTTGACAAGCATTAACATTGGCCAATTGGAAACACAGCTCTTTTGCCCTGGACCAATAGGATTAGCAGGATTTCCTACATGGGCGGCCTTTCTGAGAAACAGTGCGTATCGGGTTAGGTTGTTAGAAAGTTAATGGCTGGGGGAAAGAGATCCTCCTCAACCCTCGCTTCGGGAGAGTTTCTGGATTCCCTGAAGTAAAATCACGCAAATATCCCTAGAGAAAGCGCCTGGACGGACGTTTAAGTGAACAACTAGCTCGTTAACACACGTATCGTGAACACAAGTATGCAGGATGCAGTAGCCGGGACGGCAATGCTGACGGACGGCTTCGAGGACGAGATTGACTCGGTGACTCCTCGCTCCCCAGTGGCAGGGATGGGGGTAGGAGCGACACCAGGAGGAGTCGGACTAGGGGGCATTGGGATTGGTGTAGGTGGAAAGAAAGTACGTTTGTACGGCGAACCAGGCGGGCCTGCTGCAGAAAGACTGGATTTCAAACTAGCGGCCGCGGCCGTCCTCTCCTCGGGTCCAGGATCCGGCAGCGACGAAGACGAGGTTTCAGAGGTAGCTACGCTAAGCTAGTTAGCTAAGCCTAACCAGAGAGCTAGGCAACATTCCTCTCCTAGCGCGAGCTGGCTACTAGCTAGCGCATTAGCTCGCAGTTGGCAACCACCCCCTCCCAGGCCGCTGAAATTACGTAAAATTAACAAGCACTTTACTGGAGTGACACCTCTTGTCAGTTCATATGCTTATGGACAGTTCGATGTCGATAATGTTTGGTGAGACAAGAGCAGTTGTTCACGCTAACCGGCTGAAATGTTTTATTTATGCAGCGCAGGCTGTGGCTACGGCCTAGTTCGGGTGGAAGCGACGACGGCCTCGTTCGGTGCTGTCGTCTCGCAACACCCATCACAAGTTTGCAGCTCTTCCAGCAGCTTTCCAGCCACAGCAAATGGAAGATGCCCGTGAACCCACGGACGTACACGGCCGGCTAAATATCTGCCATTTCGTAGTCGTGGTGCAATTACGTCACTTTTCCAAATCATGTAAATTAACTCCGACCGTCTCTCTGCTAACTTTTCAATACGTTTAGATTATGATTTTCCTGGCGGTGCTACTCGAATTTATCACAGTCGGTGTTGACAAATAATCTAGCTGGCTTTTTTTTCATCCTACGTCTGTGTTGGTCAGATGGCCACCGCCACTGTCAACTTGATTTGCGTTGTCACATTTGAGAGCAGCTTGAGTTCATGTTGAGAGGTGTCCAACTTTCCATGTCACACACGAGGACAGGTGTGATGGCATCTCCTCATCTCAGTTAAACATACTTGTTTAAAGATATGTTTTATATCAGCTCAGACGGATGCAAGGATCATGTGTAAATATTTTCTCCATAGCACAAATTTGATACGTCAACCCAAGTCATCTTTTTATATGACAGCGTGACAAGCTAATTCTTGCGGGATTCTGTCTAAAATACTCTTAAGGATTACCAGTTGGACCAACCCAATGCCATTTAATATCTAAACCTTTCCCCCTGCATGCTTTGTTTAATGCGAGCAGTCAGTTTAAAGTTATTAGGACTTCTTAGCTATACTATTGTCATGTAATTGAGTTTACCTCGTCATATGACAGCAGCAGAAAATGAAAAGGAAGTTGTTGGACTACTAGATGACAAATACTTGATTTTGACAAACCTGTTAAAGGTCTGGGTTTGATATTTTTCCAAAAACCTAAATGCTAGTTGACTATTTAGTGATGTTTATTGACACAATCATTAAATAGTTCTGGGTGTGGAGCAAACTGGCAGTGCTGAGGAGTGGACTTTACCTGTTGAGCTGTCTCTTCACTAATATCTATCTAAAGGAGTATCTGTGTCAAACGCACTACAGCCCTGACGGACAACTAAGGATGTCAGCTTAGGCCACTGGCCATATATTCCTGTCTGAGCATCAGCTATGTGGTTGCAGAAGAAGAAGAGGAAAATATCAAATTTGGCAATTACATCTCAGACAACTTCATTGAGTCAAAATGTATGGCCTCTGTGTCATGTTTCTTCACTCACCCAGTCTACTCTGTCTTATCCTGAATAGGAGTATTTGTTGTGGTGTTGTAGTCCAGTGGAGAACTCGCTCCTCTGGGCAGTAGCTAAAATCTGACTCCCAGGATTAAGCACATGCCATTCTAGGCCTTTCCAGCTCTGTGGATACCAACACTCTGGGAACTGTAGTTCATTAATAGTGAAGACTGATATCCATTGTTGATTATAAAGGCCTTTGTAGAACTACATCCCCCATGGGATGTTGTGCTTTGCGTTCCTACCGTATAGCTGAATTCCTGCACTTTGCAGAATGCTAACTCTGTCCAAACATTTGCTCTCTGGGCCGGACCCTGTAAGCCAGATGCAGCTTATGCATGGACCTACAGAGATATTGTTAGTTTCTCAGGTTTTGTCAGAGGTTGTTCTGCAAACTGTAGACTGACATTGATTTGTTAGTTATTCTAAATGTACAATTATTTAAGAATGTCACCTTCCAGACAGTCTGTTTGTCCGAGTTGGTTGTAATATCGGTGATATTTATCCTTGTCAGTGTAGCTAATCTGTATAGCAAGTGTACTCCACAAGATTATGATTGACTTTAACATTTCTTTCAAAAGCATAATGTTTGTATAGATTTAAGAAAGTCACATGTGAGGAACTGTTTAAATCACTCATCGTATGTGGAGTCAATAAACTCAGGTGCTAATAAGATGCTCCTCTAAGTATATAACAGAATATTTTCCCCCAAAAGAGTGAGCTGATAATTGTTTTTTAAATTAATCTTCTTACACTAACCTGTAATTTTAATTT